TCTTCCTGTTTCTTCTTCAGATTAAACTCAGGCCTTGCACACAAGTGTTCTACCACTGAGCACCCTCAGTCCCCAGTCTGTCCTCTGAGAAAGTCTTGACTCTTCCCAGCTCCTAACACTGTGAAGGAATTGATTCTGATTTCTGCATTGTTGGAGCTAGTGGAAGAAGAATCTTTGGAGAGCCTTAGGTGTGTGGAGACTTTTCAGTAAGATGGGGAAACTGAGGCTGGGGGAGAAAGGCTCCCCACTAGGTGTGGGACTCGTCCCCTTAAAGCTCCCCCTTGCCTTGGGCCGTGGTCTTTGGAGGTCTGGAGCAGGTAGGGGGCTGGGCAGGCACCCACCCTGGGCTCCCAGAACACAGAGGCAGCCTCTTTTCTTCTCAGACACCTCGGCCTGGTGGGGACTGTGGACACACCCTCCTCTTCCCCTACTCTCTCGCCTGCCAGACTTGTCCCCAAGCCAAGCACGGGACCTCACTTAATTTCCATTATGTAATGTGCAATCCAAACAGTTGGGCCAGAAGGCGGTGCCTGGAGCCACTCCCAGGAGTGGGGGCAAAAGGCCCCAGCTGGGTCCAGGCTGAGAAACGAGGCTGGGCTTCCGTCCACAGCGGCCATCGCTCCTCCAGCTCAAACCAGAACCATGAGCGGCCGAGTTGGAGATCTGAGTCCCAAGCAGGCAGAGGCCCTGGCCAAGGTGAGAGTCCCCCAGAGAAAAAAAGGCTCAGGGCGGGGTGGGACTGGGTGGCCAGAACCTTGCCTTACTCTGTTGCTTTGGACATCCTTAACATTATCTCTCTGTTGTCGGGTGCAGTGGCTCCCAGCTTTAATCCTTGCTACTCAGAAGACTGAGGTTGCAGGATGGTGGTTAGAAGCTTGTCTGGGCAGGAAAGTCTGCGGGGAAAAAATGCTACAAGTGGAATTGTGGCTCAAGTAGTAGAGTGCTGGCAAGAAGAAGAAGAAGGAGGAGGAGAAGAAGAAGAAGAAAGAAGAAGAAGAAGAAGAATTAAGAAGAAGAAGAAGAAGAAGGGAGGAGGAGGAGGAGGAAGGGGGGAGGAAGAGGAGGAGGAGGAGCTCAGAGATAGCACCAAGACCCCAAGTTGAAGTCCCAACCCTCCCTCCAAAACAAAAAAATCTCTTTGCTGTCACCTCCCCAAATGTCAAGTCCTACAGTGAAATCAGCTCTGTCCAGAACAGGAGTAGCAGGGAGAAAAGTTCCACTTCCAGCAGTAGTGTGGGTGAGGCCTGCCCACGACCAGGCCTGCCTTGTCACTGGGAGCACCAGGCAGACAGCTCTACTGGCCGCAGTGCTCCTCCCTTCTCCCTCCCAGCCCCGTCAGTGGAATCCCAAGGATGCTGCCAGCTTGCTCTCTCTGCCCCTTGCTCCCTAGAACCCTGAAAAAGTTAGCGATCTGTGAAAGCCTGCAAGCGCTGTTTTTGTATAAGATGGAGGGAAGAAAGGCAGAGGTCTTGGTTGGTGAAGGCATGGAGGAAACTTAGAATATCTCCACATTGCAATCCACTTACCCACCAAACATTTATCCTTTCATCCATCCTCCATCCATCTTTCCAGCCACCCATCCACCCATCCATCCACCCACCCACCCACCCATCCATCCATCCATCCATCCATCCTCTCCACTCTGTCCTATGCACCTTCCCATCTCGCCTTCCATCCATTCACTTATATTTATATCCATCCATCCATCCATCCACTCATCCATCCATCTGCCATCATCCATCCATCTGTCCATTTATCCACCCATCTATCCATCCATCTATATATTCATCCATCTGTCATCCCTCCATCTGCCCATCCATCTGTCCTGTCCATCCATCCATTTGTCTCTCCATTCAGCCACCTATTATTTGTCTGTCATCCATCCATCTATCTGCCATCTGTCCATTTATCCACCCATCTATCCATCCATCTATATATTCATCCATCTGTCATCCCTCCATCTGCCCATCCATCTGTCCTGTCCATCCATCCATTTGTCTCTCCATTCAGCCACCTATTATTCGTCTGTCATCCATCCATCTATCTGCTGTCTATCCATTCATCCATCTTTCCATCCTTCTATCTATGCATCCATCCATGGACTTCTTTTCTTTCTGGCCACCCATCTACTCATTCATCCTTCCATTCTGCTTTCTGTCCATGTACTCCATCCACCCTCCTTTTTCTCCCTCCATCTCTCCCTCCCTTCCTCCCTCCCTCTCCAAAGACCCATCAACATGGAAGGGAAGGAGGAGAGAAGCAGCCCCTGAGTTTGGAAGCCAGGACTATGGGTGGTGAGAGGACCCTCTTAACCAACATCTTTCTTCTCAGTTCCGAGAAAATGTCCAGGATGTGTTGCCTGCCCTGCCCAACCCTGACGATTACTTCCTTCTCCGCTGGCTCCGAGGTGAGGGCAGAGGTGGTGGCAGTCAGAATGAGCGGGGAGGGCAGTGGGCAGGAGTAGGCCCCTGCAGCTCCAACAGGACCTGTGGCTCTCAGGATCTGTCCACGCTCTTGCTTCCTCTGCTTGGGTCTAGGAGCCGGGGAAGGGGCAGGGGCCCCTGCCCAGGCCCCGGGTGTCTGCATAGTTTCCACGGTTTAGAAGTAGGTGAGCAAGATGGTCCTCCCCCATCTCATACACATCTCCTCCACTGTCCCATAGCTCGGAGTTTTGACCTGCAGAAGTCGGAAGCCATGCTCCGCAAGGTGAGACCACCCACCCCAATGCGGTAGGAGAGGCTGGCTGGGTCTGGCCCCTGCTTTTCCCCTCTTACACTTCTGGGCGCCCAGTAGGACTTGTGACTTTTTTTTTTTTAACTTGAGGCCTGGGTGCTGTCCCTGAGCTTCTTCATTCAAGGCGAGTGCTCTACCACTTTGAGCCACAGCGCCACTTCCGGTTTTCTGGTGGTTCATTGGAGATAAGAGTCTCACAGACTTTCCTGCTCAGGCTGGCTTTGAACCACCATCCTCAAATCTCAGGCTTCTGAGTAGTTAGGATTACAGGCGTCAGCCACCGGCTCTCTGGCTTCTTTTTCTTTTTAGTACATGGAGTTCCGTAAAGCCATGGACATTGACCACATCCTTGATTGGCAGCCCCCAGAGGTGAGACCCCCCCAAAAAAAAACCACATACTCTGGGATTGACATTGTGTTTTGTCCACATTATCTTAGGGACTTTCCCCCCCAAGTCCTGAGAAAGAGGGATTCTGTAAATCATTTCATAAAAGAAAAGGTGGACTACCACGCGGCGGGGTGGGGGGTGGAGGAATGCAGTGCTTGGTGCTCTGGGACACACAGCAGAGAAACAGCAATGTCTGTATTGGAACCAGATCTGTTGACATTCAGACTCCACGTTCTCCAGCACTGCATTCGGAGGGCTTGGGCCTTCTCCAGATTAAGCCAGGTGTGGGGGTCTCGGGAGAAGGGTGACCTATGTATTTTTCCTCACCCAGGTGATCCAGAAGTATATGCCTGGGGGCCTGTGTGGCTACGACCGTGATGGCTGCCCTGTGTGGTATGACATCATTGGGCCACTAGACCCCAAGGGCTTGCTCTTCTCAGTCACCAAGCAGGACCTGCTCAAGACCAAGATGAGAGATTGTGAGCGTATCCTGCATGAGTGCGACCTGCAGACAGAGCGGGTGAGGCTCCAAAGAGGTGGCCAGGAAGCTGGGCACAAAGTGGGCCCGAGGACACACCCGTGTGCCCTGTACCACAGCCAGAGGGTTCTCGGACCAAATGCCAGCTCTTCTATTTAGTGGCCTTGGCAAGTTGTTTCTCCCCATCTGAGCCTCCTCACTTCAAAGCAAAAATACTTTGCAAAGAGTTGATGAGAGGTGCAGATAGATGCCTCAACTTTTAAGTCGGGATTGCATTTAATTCTCCTGATTTAGTGAAGGTCATAGCTTGGCCTGGCCTACCTTTAACATGCTCAGAACATGGTAGAATATTGTATGCACCTAGCTGGTGGCTCATGTCTGTAATCCTAGCTACTCAGGAGGCTGAGATCTGAGGATTGAGGTTCAAGGCCAGCCCTGAAAGGGAAGTCAGTAAGACTTATCTCCAATTAGCTATCAAAACAGTTGGAAATGGAGCTGTGGCTCAAGTGATAAAGCGCTAGCTTAGGGACAGTGCCCAGGTCCTGAGTTCAAGCCCCAGTGTTGTTGCGTGCCTGCATGCACACGCGCACGCACACACACACTCACACACACACACAGAGTGTCATTTCTATTTATTGATAGGTATTGCTTCTGATCCATCACAGTGTTAAAATATCATTAATTTGAATCATTTTAAGCAAGGGACCATCTGTATATGGCTTAGTGCAAAGATTGAATACACAACAATATTATGTGTTCCCCAATGAATTCTCAGCATAGTAATCCTGCCATTGCTTTGAGTCTTTGCTCTTGCTGTCCCTCCTGCCTGGATAACCTGAGCAGCACCCTCAACCACTACACACCACATACCTCCCAGAGCTCCCCTCAGCCCTCCCTTCTTTATGGTGAATATCCCAAACCTATCCTCACCCACCTCCAAGGTGCCCATGGGATTGAAGGCTCCTCTGTGCCAGAGCAGCTTTGGTCATCTCTCATCTCCTCAACCAGACTGGAAACTCTGAGGAGCAACACTATGGGTTATTCGCTATGGGTTATTAAGCACATTATTCATTATCCTCTCAGTGTCTGGCATAAAATATATGCTTACTGAACAGCCATTTGACAGATGGAGGGATGAATAAATGGCAATACGAACAGAATGGATTAATGATGGAATTGACAAATGGGTGGGTGAGTGAGGAGTGGGAAGATGGATGGGTGGATGGACAGATGAGTGATGGATAGGATTAATGTACAGGTGGGTGAATGGAAGGCTGGATAAGTGGGTGAATGAATGAATGAATGGTGTGTGGATGGTAGATGGGTAGGTGGATGATAGGTAGGTAGATGGATGGGTAGATGATAGATAGAGAGAAAATTAATATATGGTTGGGTGAATGGAAGGATGGATGAGTGGGTACTGGATGGATAGATGGATGGATAAGTAAATGATAGCTGGATTGAAAAAAGTAATGTACAAATAGGTGAATGGTAGGTAGATGGTGGACGAATGGGTGAATGATAGGTGGATGGATGGAGAAAAGAATTAGTGTATGTGTGGGTGAATGGAAGAATGGGTGGGTGGGTGATGGATGGATAAATAGATGATTTATGACAAAAATCAATGTGCAAGTAGGTGGATAGCGGATGAATGGATTGATAATAGGTAGGTAGGTAGGTAGATAGATAGATAGATAATTAGTGTAATGGGGGGGTGAATGGCAGGATGGCAGGGTGGATGATAGATGAATGAACAAGTCAGGAAATGCATTCACCCTTTCCCTCTTGATGTCCTGAGGACAGAGTAGGGGGCTGGAAGAAGCCATGATGAGTCATATACTTGAGTCCTCATTTCCTAGGACCGTAACTTGCTGAACCTGTAACTTGCTCCTTGCTCATTCTCATAGCTAGGAAGGAAGATCGAAACCATCGTGATGATATTTGACTGCGAGGGCTTGGGACTGAAGCACTTCTGGAAACCTCTGGTGGAAGTGTACCAGGAGGTGAGGAGAAGGCTCATGGGTAAACACACACACACACACACACACACACACACACACACACGCTTGAACAACTACTGTGTCCTAGATGTTCACCTCAGACCCAAAATGAATGAAAGATAGATGCCTTGCTACACCCACCACAGGCCTCTAACATGTCCCCCAGAAGATACCAAAGAACAACACTACACAGAGATGCTAGGGACCAGTTTCCACCAGGCATGTCCCAGCCCTGTCACTCCAAACTCTGAGACTCCATCAAGTCAGCTCCCCTCCCCATGGTTCAGTAATGAGGAGAGAATGGGAAAAGTAATACCCGGATGTTGCCATGAGTTTTTATGCCAAATATATACACAGTGCTTGGCAAACAGTGAACTTCTAAAAAAATGGTAGTCATGCCTGTAATCCTAAAATGCTCAAGGAAGCTGAGATCGCAGAATCGTGGTTTGAAGCCAGCCCAGGCAGGGAAATCTGGGAGACTCTTATCTCTTATTAACCATCAGAAAGCCAGAAGTAAATAACTGTGGCTCAAGTGGTAGAGCACCAGCCTTAAGTGAAAAAAGCTAAGAGATAGCACCCAGGACCGAGTTCAAGCCCCAGTATAGACATGCACACATTTTTTTAAACTGGTAGCCATCACCATTATTATACTAATGTTCCTGTAACATTTACTCTAAAATGATGAGGTGATAGATCTTTTAGAGGCCAGCAGAGGTAATGGCAAAATGGAAAGACCTTCCACTTAGGAGATAAGGGGCTGGAGAAAAGGAGATAGAAACTCTGATGTCTCTTTCTTCCTTCCACAGTTCTTTGCCCTCCTTGAAGAGAATTACCCAGAGACCCTGAAGTTCATGCTCATCGTGAAAGGTGTGTGAGGAGTAACTTCCCTTCCCCATTGGCCCCATTTCCTCATCTGCACTGTCGGAGCAGTAATAGTGCCTCCATCCCTGGGCTGATTGCTTGCTTATCTGCCACTCACTTGGTATCTAGCATAGAGGAAGTGCTCAGAAAAATGACAATATCTAGGGTTGGTCTTGATGTAAGAAGAGGCAACTCTAACCCTAGCTTTGCGTGATTCTCTCAGGATGCCTCTCACACCAGAAGCCCAACCTTCATCATCATCTCTGTGTGTGTGTGTTCCTTTTCTTTTTTCCTTCCTTCCTTCCTTCCTTCCTTCCTTCCTTCCTTCCTTCCTTCCTTCCTTCCTTCCTTCCTTCCTTCCT